GCGAATTAACTCAACACTATCTGAGCCTCTTCCCGTGACTTGTGGAGTTCCACAGGGAAATATCTTAGGCCCCTTGTTCTTCAGTGTTTACACAAATGATCTTCCCTTGGTGCTGCAAAGGTGTAGCTCCCAGAGTCATGTAGACGATACGAAGCTCATCATCCCTTTTTAACTAAAAGATACAGTGTACGCTGTAGCCGATTAAACAATGGCCTTCTTCAAATTGCCGAATGGTGCTTTAATAATTATCTTTTATTGAACCCAAGTAAAACCAAACTGATGGTGTTTGGGAGCAGACAAATGCCCTAGCTCAAAGTTAGGCCCCTTTTCGCTCACTTCATGGGAAAGGAACTCTTCCCTCTCAACACTGTTAAAGACTTGGGCGTATTTTTCGGACTCTAATCTAACCTTCGACGCACACGTGACCAAAACTGTATCTTCCTGTATGCATCGACTAAGTCAAGTTAATCGTACCAAACATATTTTTAACCAACATGCCCTTCTTACCATTATTAATTCTTTAGCTTTTAGCAAACTGTTTTATTGTTCAAGTGTATGGTCGAATACCTCCAAGCGCAACATAACGAAATTACAGAGCATACAGAACTTCGCTTGTCGCATTGTTTGTGGTGCGCGCAAATACGACCATGTTAAGCCTCTTCTTAAAGAACTCAACTGGCTCCCAGTGGCAAATAAACTATATCTTCGCGACGCCATAATGACTTTCAAATGTATGACAGGACGAGCCCCAAAACACCTCTCCACCCAATTTATCAAACGCGAGGAGGTTAGCAGTCGTAAGACCAGAAACTGCCAAATGTTGCATATTCCCTTCTTTAAAACTAGTAGTGGTCAAAATGCCTTTTATTTTAGATCAGTTGATATTTGGAATAATCTTGAGCACTCTCTTAAGATTTGTGATTCCACACACGTTTTAAGAGATCGCCTAATTAATAAGATACGTGATAATTTTGTAGATTAATATTATGCATTAAATATCATGCTGTATTGTTATTATTATATTGTATTGTCATGGTATATTGTATTTGTTTGGGATATTGTCTTTGAAAAGCTCCATTGGGGAAAGTCAATAAAGTATGTATGTATGTATGTATGTATGTATGTATGTATGTATGTATGTGTGTATGTATGTATGTATGTATGTAATTGTTTATGTATGTATGTATGTATGTATGTAGGTAGGTGGGTAGGTAGGTAGGTAGGTAGGTAGGTAGGTAGGTATGTATGTATGTATGTATGTATGTATGTATGTATGTATCTATGTATGTATGTATATATTTGTTTATGCATGTATGTATGTATGTATGTGTGTATGTATGTATGTATGTATGTATGTAGGTAGGTATGTAGGTAGGTAGGTAGGTAGGTAGGTAGGTATGTATGTATGTATGTATGTATGTATGTATGTATGTATCTATGTATGTATGTATATATTTGTTTATGCATGTATGTATGTATGTATGTGTGTATGTATGTATGTATGTATGTATGTAGGTAGGTATGTAGGTAGGTAGGTAGGTAGGTAGGTAGGTATGTATGTATGTATGTATGTATGTATGTATGTATGTATCTATGTATGTATGTATATATTTGTTTATGCATGTATGTATGTATGTATGTGTGTATGTATGTATGTATGTATGTATGTAGGTAGGTATGTAGGTAGGTAGGTAGGTAGGTAGGTAGGTATGTATGTATGTATGTATGTATGTATGTATGTATGTATCTATGTATGTATGTATATATTTGTTTATGCATGTATGTATGTATGTATGTGTGTATGTATGTATGTATGTATGTATGTAGGTAGGTATGTAGGTAGGTAGGTAGGTAGGTAGGTAGGTATGTATGTATGTATGTATGTATGTATGTATGTATGTATCTATGTATGTATGTATATATTTGTTTATGCATGTATGTATGTATGTATGTGTGTATGTATGTATGTATGTATGTA